GCTAGATAAAGCAGCATTAATAAAAATGCTATTTAAAAGAAAGACACTTTATAGAAGCTAGCTGCTACTTTTACTATTAACTTAAAAATAACTAGAGAAGCACCCTTTACATAAGATGTTTAAGGCAGTAGAAAGAACACACCTAAACAGTTATTAGACAATAAAATCCTAGACAGAGGTCTAGATAAAGCTAATTAAGGCAGCTAGACAGCAGATTCTAGATTATATGTAGGTGTACACCTACAAGCTTAACAAGCACTATAGATTATAAAGATGTAAGGCGTAACTAGTAGTCTACAGCAATTAATAGAGAAACATTACTACACAAGATACCTACACTGCTACCCTAGCAGGACGCTTATTTTAAATGCTAATAGTAATATTTGCACACTTTAACCTAGAGCTTAAACAATATAATGTAACTAACATGTTTATACATGCAGCAATTAACTGTGATATCTACATGCAAATGCTAAGAGGCTATTAGAAACTAGGTATAATACTAAAGCTTTAAAAAGCACTATACAGCCTATAAATTTCTTCTTTACTCTAGCAACACTATTTTATAATAACTTTTAAAGGCCTTAGGTTTTTAGCTGCCCTATATAAACCCTACTACATAACTAAAGCTAGAATATTTGTCTTCTTTTACATAGACAACCTTATTATTGCGTACAAGAAAGGCTCTAAAGCAGATGCACAGCGTGTAGTAGACTAGTTACAAGAGAAGTATACCCTAACAGGAGGCAAGGACCTATAATAGTTCCTAGAAGTTAAGATTATTAAAGATTAATAGCAATAATTAATTTAGCTATTATAGGCATTATATATTAATAAGATAGCTAGGCTAGCTAATAGAAAAAACCTGCAGCATGCTACACCTATAAGTAGGATTAAACTTATGCTGTAATCTAGTTTTACAACCCTATTAGAAGTAAATTAATATTAGCAGAAGATTAGATCTCTGCTCTTTGCAGCAGTTACTATAAGACTAGACATTACCTTTGCTACATCACGCCTTGCACAGTTTCTCACAAATCCCGCATCTAACTATTAGGATGCAGCTAATCAAGTCATCCTGTACCTACATGCGACACAGACGTACGCACTCTAATTAGGAGGAGAAGACTACTTTATAGTAGTAAGCAATATGTTATTTACAGATAATACACTAGATAGGAAGAGCTTTTAGGGCTATGTTATTTAACTATTTAGCAGATAGATTGCATAGCAAGTAAATAAATAAGATATAGTTATAATGTTAATAACAAAAGCAGAATTACTTGCACTGTTCTAAGTTGCTAAGGAAGCTATGTTTACAAAAATGCTTCTTAATAAACTATAGGTTAAGCTGCCTAATTTAACTATTATAATCTAGTGCAACAACAAGCAGACAATCTAACTAGTAAACAAAGAGATATCTTGACTTTAAACTAAGCTCTAACATGTTAACATCCATAACTACTAGCTCTAACAGGAAGTCTCTTGACAAACAATTAAGGTTGTCCATGTCCCCTCTAGCAAGATGCTTGCAGACAGACTCACTAAAGCGCTTCTAGTCAGCAAATGGCCAAGCTTTCTTCAGCAAATTCGGCTAGTTGACGTCAGGGAGAGGATAGTCAGTCAGGAAGCGGATATGGAAGAGATTGAAGCAAGAATGGAAGCCCTGGAAGCATACTAAGGTTGCGCAATCGGGAACTAGCTTGAAGCATGTCCAAGCTGAGGGGGTGTGTCAGATTTGCGCACCTACTGTCAAGACAGGAGGAACGCTTGACGAAAGCTGCTACATAGTACGAGCAATAAGCTTGAACAGTATGTTGCTGTAGTTTGCAGCATTTTGCAGCATGTTGCAGCAAATTGCAGCATGTTGCAGCAGTTTGCAGCAAATTGCAGAAAATTGCAGCATTTTGCAAGCTGGTCGCGCATAGGGCAAGTGCGCGAGGGACTCGGATCGGCAAAACAAAAAGCCGAGCAACACAAGTAGAGCAGAAAAAGGATCGATAAATCAACACAATCAAGACAATCAATTAATCATCCCATACATCATATCCAAACCCATCATTCATCTCAGGAAGCCTAGAAACAGTGCTTCAATCTGACAATAACAAACTGTTGTAGGAACCCGCAGAAGCCCTGCAAGAGAACTCTGCAGTAACCTAATTCCACGCCTAATACCTATCTAAACTAAACCTGTACCCTAACAAAGACAACCTAATGCTAGAACTACTAATGTAAAGGATTCCCTTCCTAATAAGAGGGGGGGTACTGTCACAGTATCCTCCCTAGATCCTAGACATAACTGTATTAGACGCGTACTAGAGTATTATTAGTGCACGTCTAACATAAACATAACACAACACAGACATAAACTTAAGCATAAACTGCTTTAACACTAACTAAACCTAGAACAGGCTTAATTTATACCTAAAGCGCTTAGACTTCTAAGCTAAGTATTTAATTGCTAATTTCCTTCTAAACCTTCCTGTTCCTCACACAACGTCTTGTACCTACTATAATACCTCACGTAGTAATTAAACTAGACCTCTGTGAAGCTCTATAACCTTACTCGTGCACAATCGTGACACTAAGTAGGCCTTAAAATTCTAAGTTATACTTATGCTTTAATGCTATAAGCTTTTTAACTTTTTTATTTAGCATTTACTAGTTTAGTGCTTTATCTAGATAGACATAGAAGTAATTCTTTAGTGCATAGATGTGTCTACATGTAGAACATTTAGTGCTTTTTATTTTAGTAGGTTTTTAGCTTAAAAATAACTTTTTATTATTTTCTTAATAATATTAATATTAAGGTCTACTTTATTTTCTTAACATTACAACTTCTGCACTACAGGCGTCTCTGTTTATGCCCTAGGTAGTTTTTTTACTTTTAGTAAAATATAATAAGTTATTTATTATAAAGGCAGCTTTATGCTTTTTTATATGTATTAGATGATTTAACATTATGTGTTTTTAAAAGCGCTTTATTATTTCTTTTTAATTTATGTTTAGTGTAAACTGTCTACTTTCCTAAAAAGTTATAGACTAATAAGAGGCAACTTTATTTATAGTAGTTAGAAAGTCCTTTATAACAGCATTAAACTGCGTTTTTTCTAGAACATTTTATGTCTCTACTTCTATAGCAGCATAATTATACTCTGCTAGCTATAGGTTCTATGTGCTTATGTTTTTTAGCAGCTTTAAAGATGTATTATATTAGTTACACACGTGTTTTTATTTAAATTAGTTATTAACACTAACTATAGCTTTAAAGTTTGTAATCTACTGTCTAAGTAGTTAATCTAGGGAACAGCATGTACACTGCAGATGCAGGCTAACTGTTAACTAGATAAAGATAATAATCTGTTAGAAGCTTAATGTTTGCAGTTACGGAGCTCTCCATGCGCTAGCCACCAACACTCCTTTGGCGTACTGCTGCCTAGCAATGCCACCTGCTGCAGCCTAGAGCTATTGGTGGCCTTAAGTCACATGATGGGTTCATCTAGTACTATATAAACCCGTAGTTGCCCTCCTTTAGCAATACAATCCAGTTCCTCATGTCTTTGGTGCTCCACATAGCTTCACACTTAATTACTCTCTTTTATAATTATGTCTATTACTTTTGTACCTGTTAGCCTTAATCTTGTAGTATTTAATAGCTTCTTTAAAGGTTCTAAGACTGCTTGTTAATAGCTTGTTTATGTGCGTAGGCGTTTTAACGTTAGAGGCTGGTGAAAACTTAGCTATTAGCGGCATCTCTAGAGCTCTTGGTTTGGAGATCATTTGGATGGTCAACTTAGGATCCACTTGCGGCCAGATGCTGTGCGCTACACATCTCAATTGCAGCTGCATCATCCAGGCTCTGTAGTCGGTGTGGTCTCGAAGGACGACTGTCGCGTCTCGAGGAGGCTGGGTGGCCATTTTGTATTGATGGAGGCACTGAGACTCTTAATTGTCAGATTAAAGCACTGTTTCTAGGCTTCCTGAGATGAATGATGGGTTTTGGATATGATGTATGGGATGATGATTGATTGTATTGATTGATTGATCCTTTTTCTTCTTTTTCTGCTCTGCTCGTGTTGCTCGGCTTTGTTTTTCCGGTCCGAGTCCCTCGCGCACTAGCCCTATGCGCGACCAGCTTGCAACATGCTGCAATTTGTTGCAAAATATTGCAAAATGCTGCAACATGCTGCAATTTGCAGCAACATACTGTTCGAGCTTATTGCTCGTACTATGTAGCAGCTTTCGTCCAGCGTTCCTCCTGTCTTGACAGTAGGTGCGCATATCTGACAATAGAAAAAGTAGTTTAGTGTAGTTTTAGTAAAAGTAAGTAACTTAAGTGTCTAAGTAACTTGCTTATAGAGTACGTTACAAGATTTATTCTCTCTAACCTACTTTATAATTATAATAAAAAAACATTATTAGAGTGTGTTAAGTAAGATATTTAAGCTATATAGGAATTTAATTAAACAGGTGTTCAACGAGATATTTTATAAGGATTACACTGAAAAGGCGGTCGAGCAGTAATATGTCGGCTCCGCCGAAGTCGCAAACCAGCCAGTCGATATAACTTCTCTGCCATAGCACACCAAGTATCATCTTTCCCTGATTTTTGTTCAAAGAATATCATCGCCATCTAAATGTGACGTGTAGCACTGCTAATAGAGGAGCTGAGCGGCGTAAGGAGGAAGAAAATATTAAATAAGCTGGGAATAATAGACTCTTAGATTTGAGGGAAAGTCTCTAGTGTAGGCGTCAGCATTCGCAGTTCTTCCGTTCTTGACTCTTGTAATCAAACTGTTCTGTCCTGTACTATGCCTTATGTCATGCTTCGTGCTCCTGAGGTCATCCTGAGGCCGCCAGCCCTGTGCGCCTCTCCCTCACCCGTATCCCTGCCGTGGAGTGCATTTTATATATAATTCTGCCTTTTTCGGTATGCGGTACTACTCCTATATAACCCAATTTAGTGTTCTGGTTCACGTGTCCCGCGTACACTAGCCTAATTAATCTTTATGCCTCTTCTTCCACTCTAGCGGTGTCTTCTCGGGGTGAAACATTTGCAACAGCAGTCGCATACCAGTATCCTTCACTGTGTTCCGAGCACGTGTTCTCGCTGCGACCTCGTCCTCCCCTTTCTGCCTCACTGGTACTACATAGTGCTCACAAAAGATGGAAGCCATGACAGCGACGTGCTCCACTTGCGAGAACTTCTTTCCAGGACAAGTGCGCATGCCTTCTCCCCAGGGAATGTACGCACCATGTTCCGGCATTACAATGTGTTCACGGTCATACACGGGACCATTGCCAGGCTTCGTCTGAATCCATCGGGACGGTTTCCACTCCAAACCATCTTCGCCCCAATATCGTGGAAGTGAGTGGAGAGCGTTGATGTTCACAATGACACGTGTACCGGCAGGAACAAGGACGTCCTGCTCCCCGATAGTGAGCCGGGCAGCCTGAGTTTCGGTTCCCTTGACGATACTGAGCAATGGATTGTACAGACGTAGAGTCTCGAGCTACACATTAGGTCAGCGAGGCAACCGCAACGAGGAATTGGAGGACCCACAAGAACAGCAAGAGTCCGCACTAGCCTAGGGAATAGTTCGTATCTATTCCCCAGGTCTTGCTCACCATTGACGACATAACTGATTTCCTCGGATATCCAGTCTTGCACCTCTAAATGTCCAGCTAAGAGCATGAATGTGAAGGCAAATGAGTGTGCTGTGGTGTCATGGCCGGCAAAACTAAAGACGAAAACGTTTCCGATGACCTCCTCGGGTGTAATGAGCTTTTCGTCCGTAGATGCGCGAACTAGTGAGCTGATGAGGTTGCCCCTAGCCTTCTGACCATGTTCGGCTTGCGAGCTCTCATTGAACATGTCCGTCATATAGCTTTTGAACTGATCTGCCGCCTCGCTGAGACGTCCAAGTCTAGGAATGAAGGCCAAGCGTCTAACAAGTCCCTGTCCAAGCGCGAGCATCAAGAGTGCATCGTGTAGAACGATTGCGAGTGCGTCGCGGTAACTCAAGGGTCCTTGCGATTTGGCCTTCTCATGGCTGCCCCGGAAATCAAACGACTTGCCGAATGCAGCATGAACAAGAACATCCAGCGTAAGTGTTCTCGTATCGTATCCGAGGGTGCTGACTCCTTTACTTCCCGCCGAAAGCCAGTACTGGAGCATTTGCTTGCCCTGCCGAAATGACTCATTCCAAACAAGAACATTGCTCTGCTCATTGAAGCTTGCTGCACTGACCTTTCGTTGTCGCTGCCAATTCTGTCCGTTTACCTATCAATAATGTTAGCCAACGGCTATACCAGACCTTGGAACGGCAGGTTTATAATAAATTGTAGACACCCACTGTGGATATATTTGGTCCGAATACGTCTAAGAACGCCATTAACTCCCCAGGTCGCGCGAAATCTCCTTGTCTCTCGCGTCGTATGATGTCATGAGCGGTATCCGCGTTGCACAGGTAGATCCAATTCTTTCCTGGGGTCGCAAACATGAAAGCATCTCCTAGCTCAAGATGGGCTCGGGCCTTCTCGTCGAACTCCCAGCCGATATGGCAAAATCTGGTAAAATACCCATTGCCAAAGGGAATGTACTGCAGAATGGGTAAGAAGTGTCGAGCGAGAATCATCCATATCGGATTCTCGGGGCTGATGGGGACAACGATGATCGGAAGGCCTACTTTACACGCCTCACGATAATTACGAGCCAGATTCCAGATTGTCAAGACAAAGAAGAGAAGAGGGGGCAGAAGGATGCTCCACAATAGAGAAACTGACATATCAGGCAGATGTCTACACTCAGCGCATGGGCAAAGAAAGATTGGAGGGGGGAATGACAGAGTAACAAGCGGTAGTGGGAATTGAAGTCGCGGGAGGTGGCCTTGCCATAAAACACGCACGGTCGCTTACCTCGCCATAAAGGTGCATACGCGCTTGATGAAGTTAATTAATTAACGTGCAGGAGAAAGCCAAGCAATAGGCAATACTAGACAGGGTACTGTTGCATAATCTAACTTGTGCTGCCCCACTCGCATACACATTTAACCTTGCATAAATGCTCTAAGTTAGTCAAGCATACCTGTTTAGACTAGACAACGATAATAGTATTTTATTGCGATAAATTATTGTTCTTATTAATATATTATTACAATTATTATAATAAAAGAGTAATTCTTTACACAGCGTTAGAATTTTATTAATAATTAGCCTTTTATTATATAACAACAATTCGACTAAAATCTATGTACTTTATATAATATATCAAGTATTAAAGAATATTTGTTATCTTTTAGTCTTACAATAGGTTTCTAACTTTAATTATATTAAAGTTTAGCTATGCTGTATTATAAATAATTATAGAACAAGTGCTAGAAAATACCTATTGTAGCTTATTACTTATTAGAGAAATTAATAGAATATTAAAAGTTAAAAAAATATACATAGCTACTTTTTTATTATATGTTTTAAGTCTACTACTTTATAAGTAATACAATAGCTGTTGCGTTTGCCAAAAGGCCAACCTTCTAGCTAGCGCAGCAGAAGGATATATATAGACGGATAGCTGTACGCGACAATAGCTATATATAATAGTTATCAAGTTTCTTTTAACTTTATAGCTAGTAGTTATTCTTGTACTTTTAAAAAAATTATTAAAAAACGTTACGCTTTTTTTTATTTATAGAAAAGTTAATTTTACATTCTATAAGTTAGTGTATATATTATATAAAAGAAAAGGCTTCTGTAAAGACTTTTAGAAAAATTAATTTTAAAAATGCTAAATTTTTTAAAAATATTTAGATTTTTTTCGCTAATTAGATTTTGATTTGTTTAAAAACATTATATAGACTATTAAATATAGAATACAACTAATGCTATAGTAAAAAAAAATATTAACTTATTATTATATCTTTCTAATATAAAAAGTGTATATTATAGTTAAGCTTAAATTATTATAAAAAGTTTCTACTTTTAAAATAAATAAGTATACTTTATATAAAAAAAAATTATATAACTAACTAGAAGATTTTTAAGCTACTAATAAATTATTTTTAAACTATTAAATACTTTTTCAAGTGTTATATAAATTTTTTTATAAATGTAGATTAGCTTTTTTAAAAATTATAAGAGAACTAAAAATATCTCTTTTATTTATTATATTAGTATTAACATACACTACAAGTAAGTTGCTTATATACCTAAGTTGCTTACTTTTACTAAAACTACACTAAACTACTTTTTTTTACACTAATATATTTCTAATAACCTTACTTAAATAAGTTAAAAGAATGTTAGATATAGCTCGCTATAAGAGGTATCAAGTAGGAAACACAGGTCACAGAGAGGGAATGCAGGATAGGGGGGTGTAACGAGAGAGAGTAAACCTTAGAGTCGGAGGCAGAGGCGCAGAGGCCGAGGAGCCTATATACCCCGTGCCAAGCTCTTAGGGTACTCAGGGGTTAGATAGCTGTAACATAACTGTAACACTTACACTTTAGGCTTTTAAATAAAATGTAAGACTTTTAAGTAATATGCTATAGCTATGTATAAAGTCTTTTAAAAAATAATAAATAACTAATACTGTCTGTACGCAGCAGCAGCGTTACAGTCTAGATACTAGTTATTGCGCATAAGAAGAATTACATAACTATGTCACATAATGCTTGTGCGCGAACCTCTGTGCGCGAACATGTAGATATTCCCCTATTCCTCTATACAGAAGAGAAGACAGGGCAATAACTAGAAACCTGTTGTCCCCACTCTACCTACTTTATACGCTGTGCACACTGTACACTACTCTTACTCTTGCTACTTAAGTGCTTATACTGTAAGCAGCTAGCTAAAAGAGCTTATTTAATAAATACACTAGATAACTTTTACAAGCTAATTTAATAGCTAACCTATAAAAGCTAAATAATAATAAAAAGTAAAAAATTATTAAGTATATACCTAAGTAAAATGTGTAAAGGTTTTCTTTTTAGTTAGTAGCTATAGATAATATAGCTAATTTTTTTACATACTAAGCATAATCTAAGCTATGTTAGTATAAACTAGCTTAGTATATTTATTAAGCATTATTAAAAACTTAAAGTAAAGTTTTAAGCATAAGTATAGTTTGTAGATATTTAGCTTATTATAAAGCTTATCTTATAAAAGTTATACATATTATTATTCTAGATACTATACTTAGCTTTAATATTCTTTATAAGGCTAAACTAGCTTTAAAATACTTTAGAACTTTTATAAAATACTTTTTTATAGTTATACTTATGCTTAAACTTTACTTAGAGCTTTAAAATAACATGTAATAAATATACTAAGCTAGTTTATACTAATATAGCCTAAATTAAGCTTAGCGTGTAAAGAATTAGCTATTTTAGCTATAGCTACTAGCTAAGAGAAAAATCTTTACATATCTAGCTTATGTATATTCTTAATAATTACCTACTTTTTATTAATACCTAGCTTTAATAAGCTAGTTCTAAATTAGCTTATAAAAGTTATTTAGTGTATTAGTTATTTATTATCTTTTAAAAAACTTTATACATTACTTTAGTATATTACTTAAAAAGAGCTATATTTTATTTTAAAGGCTAAAGTATAAGCTAAATTTAATATTTCTTTAACATATCTAAGTAGTGTTATTAAGAATGTATTAGTGTAAAAAAAAGTAGTTTAGTGTAGTCTTAGTAAACAAAAGTAACTTAGATGTATAAGTAACTTGTCTATAGAGTATATTGTCGCGTACAGCTATCCGTCTATATATATCCTTCTGCTGTGCTAGCTAGGAGGTTAACCTTTTAGCAAACGCAACAGTTATAAGCCTAGTTCACAGCGTAGTGTAGATGGTTAGCGCTTGAAAATTTGCGCACCCCTGCTCCACTAATAGGATTGCATTATCCTGGAGCACTGCGTGTTTAATTCCTACGCTTAGCAAAGAGCATTTAGGCAGTGCGTCTATTACAGAGGCTACCTTACTAGATCTGTCTCTAAGTTCTTCTGCTTGGGCTAGGAGGGTGTTGAGGTTGTTTCAACATGTTTCACCTCTCTCGTTCCACAGTTCAAGCTGGGGGGTGTGTCGCGTACAGCTATCCGTCTATATATATCCTTCTGCTGTGCTAGCTAGGAGGTTGACCTTTTAGCAAACGCAACATATATTTTATAGCTTACTTTTTTATTTTTATTTTTATATTTTATTTTATTTTATGTTTCTTTTGTTATCTTACTACTTTTTTATAAGTTTATTTTTATTAGATACAGCTATTTCTTCTTTCATTACATTATTACTAAAGAGATATGCTTGTATACTAATGTTAAAATTTTGTTTTTAGTAGTAAATATAATTCTAAAGAATATTATAATTAATCTAGCAATATTTAGTAAGTATGCTAATATTATATAATAAAAATTATTAACATACTTTATAAGCAAGTTAATTACACACCTAGGTTACTTACTCTTAATAAAACTATACTAATGTAATAAGGTAAGCAACCTGCTTGCTAAGTTTATACTATATAACTTTCTCTACTACACTAAAAGGTACGCATAAGAATACTTAAGCTAAACATTCTTACATAGTATAATGTTTGCAGTAGTCACACGATAGTCGGATGCGTCGGATGCGTCGTCACCATGAGTCTGTTGCCAAGACTCACCCACTTATTTTGCATATATATAGACTCCTACACAGGACTTCTCTAGAAATACATTCAATGCAGTTCCTCATGCCTCTGGTGCCTCACATAGCTTCACATATAATATCATATATAGATAACGCTAGGGCTAGCACTAGCACTAGCGGTTACCTCTAGTCTGTAACAGCACAGGCAAGACAATGGGTCCGAATGCGGTATGAATCCACTTAGAGGCATATGGGAGTGCGTGGGGACTTAGAAACCTGGGAATGCTATTAACACCTAAGGCCTTGTACAAAGGGATAGAACGATTCTAGCAAATCGTTACATAGTCTAGCCTAAACCTCTATAAGCAAGAGAAGGCCTTTGTTACGGTCTATGGTTGGACCAGCGTAACTCCACCAGCAGTGCTCCACAATCTAGCTGAATTGGAACAAGGCACGTTTAGGGACCAGTCGGAGGACACGGAAGCGGCGCACCTGCCTAAGATCATGGAAGAATGCGCTGTCTAATAGGAAGGCAGGCCGCAAGTTTAGCAAGCTTAAGGGAGCTTAAGGAGCTCCCCTTAGCAGACTTACATGAACTCCACTAACTCCTCTTAGCACCCTAACACATGTATATAGTTCCCACATTAAACAACCTTTAAAAAGCGTGTTTAACATTTAGTTTATTTATTACATAGACTAAGTAGCATTTAGCTTTCTAAAGAGCTATAATACTATTTATATATCTTGCACTATATATACCTCTAACCCTGTCCCACAAGGACTGTTTAACCCTGGCCTCCCTACTGCCGCACATAGGGCAAACTACAATCTAGTCACTCTATACCACCCTCCATTAGCCTAATAGCCTGTACGTAGGACTGTACACCCTACTAGATTAGCCCCTTCTATCTGTCCTACTTCCCCCCTAGGAATACTAGAAGACCTAAGTGCTTCCTAAAGCAAGAATTATAACATTAAACACTACTCTTTTAAAAAGTATAGCAACCTCTTAACATAATTTAGATTCTAACATAGCCTACACTGCGCTATCTAGATCTATAGAAGTCCCTACCTAAAGTAAAGCTGTTCTTACAGAACAGATTAACTTAATCTAGGACAACATTAAAAAACTCTAGTAGATTAGTAACAAGGTTAGTAACTTATTAAAACTTAAGTA